TGAAAAATAAGTGAAGCTTCATGTATAATGATCAAGATAATAATTATGGATGGAAATAATCTGTACTGTTATCATCATGTTTGTCAATGCGCTGATTCTAGATGATAGTGATTCATCTGTTGTAGTTTTTCCTATGTCCCGTATTGCCTCTTTTCTTTAGTTGCATTTTTTATGGGCTTAGTGTGGATACCCTTGGTGTTGGTATTGCTTTGGTTTACCCTAGCATCAAATAGGTTTAGATGGTTTTTATTATGCAGGTTTGGGGACGCTATGGTCTAAATTAAATGGAGGATATGGCCCTAGATGATGTGAATGGTTTCATGTAACGACCGTAGTAGTTGAGACATAAGGCTTCTTGGAATTGAATTTGAGGTTTTGGGGATGCTGATGGTGTATTATTCTTGTTCGCATCTGTTGTCTTTGGACCGTAGTAGTTGAGACATAAGGCTTCTTGGAATTGAATTTGAGGTTTTGGGGACGCTGATCGTGTGTTATTCTTGTTCACATCTGTTGTCTTTGGAATGAACATTAATAGGTGTGGAGCCTTTGGAGTGAAGTGCGGATTACACGTACAGGTAAGAGAAGTCTTATTTTTACGACCTCTTTTTTTTTTTTCCTCTCCCCTGCTACATCGTGGCAATTAAGGTTTCGAACTGTTTTTCATAGAGTACGTGAACTTTTTCCTTCTTGTTTCTTTTAGCTGGTCATTAAATGGGTCTATATTTGTCAACACTTGCTCAAGGCTTTTTTCTTTCATTCAACAAAAACTTTATGGTGGTCATGTCTCACCAAGGTTCAGATTGTGTTCAAAACTTTAGATTTTCTCATTTTTACTTTTACTGCTAAGTTACATATTAATTTTGTCAAGAACCTTTAGTCCCTAGCCTTATATAGGATATAAAGTTTGGTGTATGCCACAGTTACCTACTTGTTTACAGTATTTGAATTATGATTGGTGTTGCAGGCACTTTTTGGTCAATTGGATTATGATGAACAGATATTAGTCTGAACCTGGTGTTCGCTTCAAGGTTAGAGTGATATGCTGCAGTGACAGTGTCCTATATGTCAACATCTATATTGGAAGAGCAAACTGTAGGGTACTGAAGGTTCTGTTAAAACTGAGGAATAATATTAGACCTCATTCCATTCTAGTTAAGAGAATTAAGGCTTCTTGACTAGACCTTGCAGTTATATCTAAGGATGGTCTTGAACCTTTAAATTCTGATTAATGATACCTGATTTGTGTCACAGTGAGCACAGTTGGTGGTTAGGATGATATTGATATAAAGGGATAACTATGATTCATATCTCATATTAATTTCTGTTATGGTTAGACATGATGAGTGACGATTGATCACAGTTTACTCTTGCAAAAAAACCTTGGGTTTTTTCAAAAACCGTGTCAATCAACACTCTTTTTTTCCCCATGGCAGGGGCTTGGAAGTCTTATCACTTATGTTTTGTTGGGTACTGAAGTGTGGTGGAACTTATAATTCTACTGATTCTATATTTCTCTACCGCAGTGTGGCCAGCAGGATATTGTGGTGATTGGCTTGAGGTTTGTTATTACGTGCCGTTCGAGACCCATAATCGAATAGAGCTGACTTAAAGTTGTGTGGCCTCTTACGTTAACGAATTTGGTTTCTCTGGTGATTGACAGTGGCCAGTGGGCATGTAGTTCTTATAAAAAAAAAAAAAAAAAAATGTGTGCAAGGTGATGATTCATTGAGTTGAATATGATACTTAAGCTGTTTGATGGTTGTAATCGTACTCTATGTTGTTCTCAGACCCAAAAGGGTAAGAGAGTGATGACAATTAGCAGAAGGGTGGTGTTGGCATCTTTATTTTTATTTTAGCAGTGATGTACAAAGCTTGATGCCTTCTGCATGATAAATTTTTTTAGCATGATGGTTGACATTTTGTGGCTAATCATACAGTATAATGCAATAATGATTATAGCTAGCTAGATGGGAGGGCTGTGCACAAAATTTACAGGAATGCCAATTGCCTTTTTAACTGTTGGTACTAGTTATATGAGGGCGGCGCATGCAATGTACAATAAAGCTGATTACCTTTTTACTGTTGGTTTCTGATTGCAATCACTTGTCTGGCAGAGATTTTCTGTGCCTTGATGGATGTTAATTGCCATAGTCGCAATGCATGAGAATATCCTAATTGCATCTTCGGATGATTCTTCACTGACAATATTCTCCCTTCACTGACAAGCTTCTCTTTGTGGGATATACACACCGATGAATCTCCTGTTTGATCCAAGGGTTCCATTTCAATTTGGTTCCTTTTAGGGTACATGAATGTCTCTTATTTTGTATTAAAAAGCAAAAATGGCCAAGTGTTCCCTTGTATTTATTTTCTTAATAAACCAACAATCTTTTGAATTTGTCAGATCACTTTTTTTTTTTTTTTTTTGGGGGGCGAAATTTCATATATGTCATAGAAGTATTGAGCGCTCCCTCTTTTTCTTTTCAACTGTTCCCTTGATTAGCACCTTCTGGATTTTTTTTCTAAATGAGGACTTTTAGTAGTTGGATTTTTTTTTGTTGAAATTATTTTCTTTCGTCTTTTTCTTTCTGTTCAAGCTATGTAAACAGTTGTGGGTTATATTGTTAGTCTTCTGACTTTACATTCAATCTGTGGCACAAGTTTATATCCTTGGTACAATATCCTCTCTCTCTGAGCATTACATGGTTAATAGGTACATTAGGTATGAGAACAGTGTACTGAAACTGAAGGCGAAACTCTGTATGGACCTAACACACTCTCAGTAGTATTATATATGCCATAACAGAGTGTTAATGTCTGAATCTTCAGTGTTCATTATAACAGGGTGTCATTCTCTGAATCTCTTTTATCCCTTTAACAGACACATTAGGCTTTCCTGCTTTAATCTGTATACTGGCAGACGGTTTGCAAAATTTTAAGAACATCTTTTCCTTCGTTGTAGTTGATCCTAGTTCTTTCTTTTTTGGTTCTCATTTTTCCCATCAGTTCAATATTGTTGTAGACCATTTATAAGAGCTGATACCTTTCTCTTTTCTTAATGAATAAATAATTCTGTACTGTGTTTTACCATTAGCTTTCTTGTATCAAGTTTGTAGGGAATTATTTTTGTGGTAATTTATGTTTGATTACATGCCCTCGGATAGTTTAGCGCATGCTGCTTGTTAGATTGCTGTAGCCCACAGATGAATAAATTCTGTTAGCCACATGCTATATGCTCATATCTTGCTATGTTATCTAGTTGAATAAATTCTGTTAGCCACCTTGTTGAGGTAATGATCCTTTACTCCGACTTGACGCAATCGTGCTAACCTTTTTCCTATGAATGAAGTTACTTGGGCTTTGGGGTGACATGTTTTCAAGTAGCCATTACGGAGCGTTCAGCCGGAGCTCGGCTATAACTATTAACATTGGGGTGAAGTAACTAGTAGCAAAGTTACTTGTGGACCATGTCGCTAAAACTATATATTTCTAACAAAAATGTTGAGAATTTTTTTAGAGAAACAAAGTCAAGTTCTATTATTTTATTCTTCTTAGGGCTTTACTTTGAGCTCATAACCTGTGGAATATTAATAGCTTTGCTATAAATTGCATACATTGCTAAGTTTTTACGAGCGTTGGCCATCATCAGAGCACCCTCGTTCCACCTCTCCCTTGGTGTTTTTGGTCATTTAGGTCCATTTTTGCATGTGGTTGTTGTTATGTGATCCTATAGACGAGGATTATATGTTTCTTTGATGTTAATTGAAGTGTATACAAAGGGAAAATGGATAAGGATTTTGGGCAAAAGAAAACGTTGCGTCAGATTTCCTGTACATCTAGTTATTCCATTGAAGTATAAGATGTTTGTGTGGACAGCATGGTAGTATTCTTAAAGTATTCATCTATATCCCCAGGGCTATGAATTGTTTCTGACTACTTTAGAAGCTAGGCCACGTCTCCTTTTTATCTTTTTTTATGTGTTTGCCTTCTCTAACTCCCAAGTCATTCTTGGATTTTCTTTGCATCTTTTCTGATTTTTGCCCCTTTAGCCCCTGAATTCTGGATTATTGAGAAGCTGGATGATTCTCAATACCTGATTTTTTTTTTTTTTTCATTACAGTTTAATTAAGATTATAAGATCAATTGGAGCTAACTACATATAGTATAGACCTAATCAACTTGCATGTTTATTGGATTTATGAAGAAGGTAATGAATGTATTATAGAGCCTCTTCATTTTATTTTATTTTACTCATCTTTTTATTAGTGGAATCTGAAGGCATTTTCTCACCGGGCTTTTGTTTAGAGAGGTTTCCTTGAAATTAATTTGTGGGGTGGTGGGAGGATGATTGCATTATTTCTCTTTATTTCTTCATAATCTGGTGGCAAGGAAGATGATTGCAGTGGTTTGATAGGGCTGTTTGTTACTTTCTAGAATTGTAGTAAGAAATTAATCTACTGGCAGAATCATTTTCATTCAATAGAACTTTTAGACTTTGCAGTTCATTGATTAATTAAGTTTAAAAAAAAATTAGCTGTTTCATTACTCAAAACAATCATTTACAAAAAGAAAGGAGGCATTCCCCCTTATTACAGATACAAAGCAGAACCCCATTTATTGATTGATCATATACACGTAATTTTGCCATTCTTTTATTGTATTTATAAAAGGCTGTTTTATATATTGGCGATATAAAAAGTTTCAGCTCCAGTTCTAACTATAGGTTGTGAAATGGCTAGAACAAAAGTTATGTATGAACAAAAGCTGTGTAGTAATGGTGGAAAAAAATATTTTGCGTGCGTTTTATTTTTGTCCATTATGATATGATGGTTCTGTTGCCCATATTATATATATTTTTTTGTTTCAAAACTTCATATAGCTTTCCATAAAAAATTTACCAGATGGTAGTGGTGGATGATATATGTACAGAGATTGCTCTTCTTTGCTTACTGGTTCTAGCGGCATTTATTTGACTACTTTAGGAAATCTTCATATTACAGAATGGAGTTACTTAGCGAAAAATTAAATACTCTTGGTACATCCTCTACCTTGAAGGTTAATTACTCAGAGATCTTCATGCGGCCCACTCCATGAATCGTATGCTTACTCTACATCCCTGTTAACTGTATGGTGTACCTTAAATGGTACATAGCTATTCTATTATTTCACGTCTTCATCGATTGTAAGTGTATTCGGATCAGATCGCTTATAAATATGTCCCTTATTTGGTTTAGTCTACTTCTAAATGGAGGATAGGAGAGAATAGCTATCCTCTTCCACGGCCATACTTAAATCTACTATATGGGGACAGATTATTCCTACCAGGTGCGGAAATTAGAGATGAGGGAATGGAGGTGTATTCTCAAGAACAATCGTAGATCACTACTAGCACTCTGGCTTTCTGTTGATTGGCCTAGGTAATGTCTTTCCTACGAACAATCCACAGATCCTATTTTTTTATTCTGTTTTCTTCTGTTAGCGAATCTAATATCCTATGGCTTCCTTTTAGGCGGTTCAACATCCTACGTCGAGGTCCACATCTTCCCTTTTTTTTTTTTTTTTTTATAAATATTTATATTAAAATTTGACATGCTTTCATTTTCCCCTCATTTTGTTTCTTAGCTTCAGAACGATAAGGATGCTTTATCATCCAAGGGTGGAGAAAGGCTAATATTGGAGATGAGTTCACTTGAAGATACAAACAGGTTAGTTGGCTGACTTGTTGAGATATAGTGGGGTGTGACTTAGTGTAGGAATTTTGGTCGAGTGCATGAGTGATACTGGGAGAGCTACAGAAATATAGAGTTGTGGCTGAGGGCTTTAGACAAGAATGTGAAGTGGAGTATTGAAACACATTTATAATGATGGTACTGGGAAATTTGTTTAGAAACACCATAATGAAAGGACTACAGTAGCTTCTCGCTAGGCATTTAACTAAATGGAAAGAGGTGGCCGGGGGAGGAATAAAATTACTAGATCATCTCAGCCAACTACACTGAATCTTTTATCAAATTGACAAATGATTTCATTTAGGTGTTGTCCTTAATTGCTATGAAAATGAGCGATTTCACTTGACAAATCCTTTTCCAAACTACTTTTGTCGGTTACATGGATCATATATTTCCTTTCTGCTCTATCTAATGCCACAGCCTCGGTCGAATCATCACTTCTTTCTTTTACCAACTCTTATGTCAATTTTGGTCTTCTCCTTCCCCTACATTACCTTCAATGTGAACCATGCCACTTTTTCTAACCGATATAGTTGTCTTCTTTTTGGATACATACAAACCATCATAATCAAATTTTCTCTCATTTTATCTCCAATAATTGCTACTTCAATGATTTTACGAATGTGTTCATTCCTAATTCTATCCTTTCTTGTCTTGCCTTACATCCATTCTCAACATTGGCACATTTTTCACTCACTTTATGCATATATTGTTTCGTTTGTTGCCCAACATTCTCTACCATAAAGAATGACTAGTCAAAGACTAAGAGCTGTTTTGTAGATAATTTTTTTTCAATCTTAGAAGGATACAGTGATCACACAATATTCCAAAGGCACTCCTAGATTTTATCCAATCTTCCTTGGTTCTATGATTAAAATAATCTCCAATTTCTTCTTCATTGTGAATAATTGAACCTAATCAACGGGAATTTTCACTTTTTGGTATCTCTTGGCCCTCAAGGTTCTTTGCATTTCTAGATCAACTTAAATCACCTTACATATATTCATTTTTATTCGTACTTATCTTGCATCCTTTTGATTCTAATTCTAGAGCTTCTCCTTAAACCTCCAATTTAGTATTTCAGTACTTGAGATTTTTTTTTTTTTGGATAGTGATTTGGACAAAGGAGTTTCTATAATGGCCCTCCTAGTCTTTGCTTTTCAGTTGAGAGTGGAAAGCTTTGGAAGTCATTAGAGACGTTATATGGTCTGAATTGTAAGTACTAGTCTTGTTAAAAAATGATCTGAAGCACATTTACTAGCAATCTGTGTATTGGAATGCCCTTTCCGGAGCATGGAATTTCTTCCCTTACTTTATTTTGTAAGATAAGAACATTAGAAATTGACTTGTAAACGAAGCTCAACATAAATGGATAGTAGGTCAGTGATTTTAGTGTTCCATTTTAATATAGTAAATTTTCATAATTATATCCATGACTTGCGTGTTTGTTGAGAGATCAGTTATGGCATTTAGGCGTTATTGAGATATTTCTTAGGACATTTAAATCTTGTTTCTACGCATGATAGCAATCTAAAATTTTATTTATTTGATTGATGGCAATGCAGTATACATGACTGAGTAAATTCTTACACACACATTTGTTTTTAAAAGTTGCTGGCCATTTTTAAATACTTTTTCTAGGCCAGGCAAATATGATATGGTGCATGGTTGTTATGGGAGTAGAACTTTATTGTATACTGGAAAACTCTATATTTTTTTTTTTTATATATTGGATTTAAGCGAGATTCTACTTGGAACGGATTGAAAAATATAGATAGTCGATTTGCTGTGATACCAATTGTTAGCCATTGAAGCACATACGTCTCTCTTTTGATGTTTCTTCTGGCGTGCTGGGTATGAGATCGAGTCATTTACTGTGATTGTATTTACTCATGTGCAGGTTGTGATTTTCCTATCTATCCTGACCCGAGCATAAATTATACTGTGACAAGGTGATTGGTATAGTTATGGGGCATAGACATGTATTCAGCTCCTCACAAATGTTTGAGACTGATAATGATCAGAGTTGGAATCATCTCCAAGTAGAGCAACCTTACATGCATTTGGGTATTGAATCTTTATATCCCTTTCACTTGCACATATTTCTGTTGTTATACCTAAAATTCCCCTTTTGTGGTGCTAATATATAGTGATTATTGATTATAGTCACATCTGAAAAGAGTGTTCAAGATATACTCACCATAGTTAGCCTAGCAACTCTGGTGTTACCTTCCTAACATGCCTTCGGAACCTAGGGTCCGGCTTTAGCCCTTGCATGGGGTTTCAGATCTGTCAGGTCATTGACAGCAATTACCTATTCGTGGTAGGCAAGTGGTTTATTTATTATACTGTCCTTAGCAGCGCAGTTGAATCATGTAGTGAAAAAATGGGACCATCCTTTGGCCTTGATTTGTTGCCTTCGGACCTGTGTCTCAAGGAACTTGAACTGGGCATGCAAGTAGGGATTGAAATCTATTATTGTACTTATCCTGTAGACTAATGCTTGTGTATCTTCTGATTTTGTATTGCAGCGGGGTCTGGTGCTGCTGAAAACAGTTCTCTTGTTTATCCTGTTGAAAATATGTCGATCGATGGTGTACATTTTGCTCCTCATTGGAATCCTGCTCCAAGGTCAAATGACTATCCTTCATCAAGTCACAGTGTTGAAGTGCCACTTTATCAACCAGATGCTTCGGCCCTATCTCGTGATCCTTTCCTGCATCCATCTACTGCTGGAAGCTTTTGTACGGTCCCAGAAAATTATGTCCATCATGCATCATCCTCCAATTATGGAGGACAAACATTCCATGGGGTTGAGGGTGGTTTTGTTGATCTTGCAATGGGTAATGGAAGAGGGCCATACAAAAGAAAAAGCCCTGGTGTCCCTACAGTCTGTGAGAGAGGCAGCACAAGCAGATCTTATAATGCTGGAAGTTCATCTGACCTCTCTTTGTCCTCTGACATTTGGCAGGAGAAGCCAAATCCAGATTTCCATCATACACGTTGGGATTGCCCTAGCATTGGCCCCGGTTATAGAGGCAATGGCCTCTCAATTGCAGGCGAGGGCACGGCACGGAATGTGAGAAGCAGAGGTGCAATTGACTTGGAAACAAACCTAGCTAGAACCCATTTATCAAGCAATCCCCCACACCACCCGTGTTCAAGTCGCTCCACTGACCATGCTAGCTCGGTGGTTCTTTTAGGTCAGAATTCTAATGCTTCGACACATGAGTGGGACCATATTCACATGCCTCCTGCTGCTCATGGGAGAACAGTTTCAGGTTTGTTGGTACTTTATTCCCTTCTCTCATATTTCCCATTTGTCCTGAACTTCTACATTTTGCAATTTCCAGATACCAATGTTTTCTTTTGTGAGACAGATCATTTCATTATTGGAAGCAGTAATTCTAGTGTCCCAATAGATATTGGGGGATACCATAATGATTTCATATCGAGCAGAAATCCTGTTCCTCGAAATTTTCAAGGTACCTCAACCCAAACTGTGAGGGGGGTTAGAAGTAGCTATGCTCAAAGATCTACACCACCATTCAGGGCTTCTTCAAGCAACCTGCGCCTTGGAAATGCGGCTACTTCAGATGAAGGGTTGCAGTTGGTCACAGAAAGTTATTCCTCCAGACAACCAAGGCCATTTTCCACCATAGGATGGCGTAGCGGTGATCGAAGTGGGAGAGCAAGGATGTCCAGTGAGAGATATCGATCACTTTCTTATGAGTCGGGTGTCCGTGATCGACTGGCATCTGAGGTGTGTAATCTTCTTTTCTGGAGTTTCTTCTGCATGAATGAGTGGTTTGCTCGTCTGTTTTTATTTCAATTGCCAGCCTGCCACATTATGTTATAGAGCCCATCATTTCATTGAAATTTTGGTGGTTTAAGTAATTTACCTACTCTATTACACTTACTATGATTTCTGTCCAAATGTGATATGCCAATCAGTGTTGGGAAAGAGAGTGGTTATGGCAATGGTTGCTTTGTGTGCTGTTGGGGGGTGGGGGGCAGATGATAATTGCTGGGAGGGGTTGTTGAATATGTAGATCAAACATGTAAACAGGCAGGTTATCTGCAAGGGAAGGAAAAATAGTTTTTAAAAAAAGAAAAGGAGGTGGGGAACTTGTGTGTTACTTTCTTGTTAGAATCAAAATTCATCACTTGCTTGTTGCAAACATTTGTGGGTGATGGAAAATAGGGGGTTTCTCTTGCATTTTTTTTTTCTTCTTCCCCCATTGTGAAAATACTGACAATTTTGCTACTAAAAACCTTGATCTTTAAAAGCTAATTAATACTTGAATGGTTGTATTAATTTGAACTGGTCCATTGTTTAGAAATCTCGATTGGCCTGTTTGTAGTTTCTGATTACATAAATTCTTCAATGTCTTTGCAGGGTCTTATGATTGTGGATCGCTCGGCCTTGTATGGATCTAGAAATTTGTTTGATCAGCATAGGGAAATGAGGCTAGACGTAGACAACATGAGCTATGAGGTTTCTATAAGTTCACCTTTCCCATTTAATATTTCTTGTCACCGATTGCTCCCATTTAATGTTAAGTTACTGGCATGACCAGGAACTACTTGCACTGGGAGAGAGGATTGGAAATGTTAACACTGGCGTGTCTGAAGATTTGCTGTCAAGGTGTTTGACGGAATCAATTTATTGTTCGTCAGATGAGTTTCAAGAGGAAGGAAAATGTGTAATCTGTCTGGTGAGAACTCCACCGTGTTCTAGCGTAGACAAAATTTTAAATTTTTAACTGGGATATGGATCCAGTGTTGCTAAACAAGACCTCTTTTAAGGGGTCTTATGGCTCTTTTATGTATATTCAGTTTAGATTACTAGATTTACCTGAGCAATTATCTTGGCTGGCTTCAGCACCTCCCCAATTTTCCTCTTAAATCTATGAACTGCTTTGCCGAGACTAAGGCTTTCATGGTTCATAGGAAACTGTTGGGAAAGTTTGCCAACTTTTCTTTGAAAACTGCATTAAAAAAATATATATATTCATACAACACTCCTCTGTCGATGTAGAATTTTCGAAATTTGTTTTTAGAGAATTGAACTGAACATGCCCATTAATTTCCTGATTGGAATGTTTGCTTCTTGTCTAACTAGTGGCTGTGAACCTGTGTTTGTGTTTGGCAGGAGGAGTACAATAATATGGATGATGTTGGGACGATGAAAACTTGCGGTCATGATTTCCATGTGGGCTGTATCAGAAAATGGTTATCGTTGAAGAACTCGTGTCCGATCTGCAAAGCTTCTGCTGTGTCTGACAATATGAAAGAAAAATAACCTATCCAGTTGGTTAAAAATATATTTAATTTCATCTCTGTAAATACATTTCATGATATTCCTCAAACCGAGGACTTGACATGTTAGGGGGAATTTTGTAAAAAAAAATATTTCAAGCCATTTGTTTTTTTTTTTTTTCCTTTTTTTTTTTTTTTTTTTGGTTACTGCTTCTATCATAATTTTAGATGAAGCAATACAATGTTCATGTTAACTTTTGTTCATCAAAAAGATGCAAATGTTCATATCTCTGGAATTACTTTATCTTCAACTTCTTTTAATGATGCCAAAGTTTAATGTCTAAAATAAATTTATTTCATTATTTTCATTGTTGGGGATAATGTTTCTTTATATATTGCTCTCTTCTCCCCATTTGCATCGTAAATCCTTTACCTTTATAATTTTAATGAAAAATCATGTCATAAAAAATTCAGAAGTATGTTTTAATTAACTATTATTATTAATTGTATAAGTTGAAAGTGCAATTCAATTTGTTTTGGATTTCTCGGTCTAAAATGGAGGCAATTTCAAAGTCTTACCAATTTCCATCTCAATTTTGCTGAAATTGCTCCGTATTATCCTTATATAGTTTTTTATTTATACGTTTTTTCATACAAGTCATGTTGTTATCATTATGGTTTAACACTTCTTTTCAAATTCAAGGAGAGATTTCATGTAATTATGAATTGAAGGCGAACCTGTAAAAAATAATAATAATAATAATTCTATTTTCTATCCAAAACCATTCAAAGATCAAATTAGGTTGAGATTTAATCGGACTAATTAGTTAAACAAGTTTATAATAATGAGAGTGATTTTACGTGAGCTCTCTCATCATTCAATCAGACATGAGAGCGGTCAAGAAGCTTCCAGATAATTCTAGGTCCTCCTATCCTCCACCGTCTCTATTGACCGCTAATTTATCCTTATTTCCGAATATGCCCCTTTCATTCCTATTCGAAGTCGTCCTATATCTCTATATAAATACACACCGGTACTGCATTGCTCTTCATTATTTGCCTTGTTGAGTCTCATTCGATTTCCTTCTCTCTCTTCTTCAAAAGCAAACGACTACTTTTCTGTTCTCTCAAGGTAGAGCATTCGTTCAATTACAGTTCAATATCTGTTCTGTTTATTACGAGTTTTTGCTACTCTGTTGTATAATTGATTGCTACAGATCTGTTGTATAATTCATTTTTTGTTGTACTTTTCTGGAGAGCAGATGCAGATCTTTGTAAAAACCCTAACTGGCAAGACCATCACGCTCGAGGTCGAGAGCTCTGATACGATCGACAACGTGAAAGCTAAGATCCAAGACAAGGAAGGAATTCCCCCCGATCAGCAGAGGCTGATTTTCGCCGGAAAACAACTCGAGGACGGCCGGACACTCGCTGATTACAATATCCAGAAGGAGTCGACTCTCCATCTGGTTCTCAGGCTTCGTGGAGGCATGCAGATCTTCGTCAAAACCCTAACTGGCAAGACCATCACGCTCGAGGTTGAGAGCTCTGATACGATAGATAACGTGAAAGCCAAGATCCAAGACAAGGAAGGAATTCCTCCAGATCAGCAGCGGTTGATTTTCGCCGGAAAACAGCTCGAGGACGGCCGTACTCTCGCCGATTACAACATCCAGAAGGAGTCCACGTTGCATCTGGTGCTGCGTCTCCGCGGTGGAATGCAGATCTTCGTCAAAACCCTAACAGGGAAGACCATAACCCTAGAGGTTGAAAGCTCCGACACAATAGACAACGTGAAGGCTAAGATCCAAGACAAGGAAGGGATTCCTCCCGATCAGCAGCGTCTGATTTTCGCCGGAAAGCAGCTCGAGGACGGTCGTACTCTGGCTGACTACAACATCCAGAAGGAGTCCACCTTACACCTGGTGCTCCGTCTCCGCGGTGGAATGCAGATCTTCGTCAAAACCCTAACTGGCAAGACCATAACCCTCGAGGTCGAGAGCTCTGACACAATCGATAACGTGAAGGCTAAGATCCAAGACAAGGAAGGGATCCCTCCGGATCAGCAGCGTCTGATATTCGCTGGGAAACAGCTCGAGGACGGTCGTACTCTCGCTGATTACAACATACAGAAGGAGTCCACTCTCCATTTGGTTCTGAGGCTTCGAGGTGGGATGCAGATCTTTGTGAAGACACTCACTGGAAAGACGATTACTTTGGAAGTGGAGAGTTCGGACACCATTGACAACGTGAAGGCCAAAATCCAAGACAAAGAAGGCATTCCTCCGGACCAACAGAGGTTGATATTTGCCGGAAAGCAGCTGGAGGACGGAAGGACTCTTGCAGACTACAACATTCAGAAGGAGTCTACACTCCACTTGGTGTTGAGGCTTAGGGGAGGAATGCAGATCTTTGTGAAGACACTGACTGGGAAGACCATCACATTGGAGGTGGAAAGTTCGGACACAATCGATAATGTGAAGGCTAAAATTCAGGACAAGGAGGGTATTCCACCTGATCAGCAGAGATTGATCTTTGCTGGTAAGCAGCTTGAGGATGGGCGTACTCTTGCTGATTACAACATACAGAAGGAGTCAACCCTTCACCTTGTCCTTCGCCTCCGTGGTGGTGATATCTGAAACCCCGCATTTGTGGGTCTAGTTGTGAGTCCTCACTTTGTTCGTGAAAACAATGAATTATGCATTTGTGTTCTAAATTCTCTGTAGTTTCTAACTGCTTTTGGGTTCTGCAAGTTTCAATTGAATAAAATTTCTTTGTGTTTTGTTTATCTGCTTCTTTTTCTTGTGTGTGATATATTCTGAGTTTCTATTCTTTTCTCTGATTTTCATAATTCTTAATGCGAATTGGAACATATTTTGAAGGAGGAAGTTTGAAGATTTACATTTATGAACATGGTTTGAAATTTTGATTTATTTATTTTTAGTGTGGAATGTGGGATGATTTGAAGATTTATACATATGAGGGAAAGGCACTATGAAAGTGTCTCATTGCTATGGTATTTTTAGTCATGATATTAAACTATTGGTTTAGGAGAATTGAGGATGTTTGGGTCGGTAGGAAATATCTATCTTGTTCAGTGATGGAACTACTATGTTTTTGGATTCAACCAAATGTTGCACGAATGTCTTGTACTATTATGGGATATTTAAATTATAAATTTATATGGCAAAAGTGCCCATTTAACATTTTTTTCTCTCCCCTAGCTTGATTGCAAATTCAAATATGGAATTCAAATGGGGTTAGACAGGAACGAATGCATTCAAAATTAACAGATGGTGGTCTACTATTTTTCTTTTTTAATTTTTCAAATTTAGGCATTTAGTTCCATGCTTGACTCCTTGGGAATGAGATTCAATGAGAATTCAAATATGACATTTGGTTCAAATTTAGGAATGAATCACAAGGCAGAAACCGGGTTACAACCTTAGGAATGAGAGATTCCCATGCTTGACTCCTAATACTCTTCCTTGATCGTTGTTGGTCCTTTTGGCATTGCAGGGGTGGAAGCACCGATAATCTTACTGTTGTGCCTAAAGTACTGATTGAGGCTGGATTCTTGATAGGGCACTGAGATACTATCATATTCTGTTGGCTTTGACTAAAAGTTTCTTTCTTATGGTGTGAGAGGTTTTCAGTTAGAGACTAATAATTTGAATTGATTTGTGGAGTGTAAATTGCATTGCCACAAATATAAAACACAGTACTGTTCTTTGTTAGGGTCTGAAGTTCAGTTTTAGCATGGATGAATCTGAACTGAATTCGTGCAGGTCTATTTGAAATTTAGAGGCTGGTATAATGGGTAAAATTCGAACAACATTTTTGTTCAGATTTTTATGTAGCCTACCTGCGCAACTGACTTTCAGTTGGTGTATGGTTTTTAGCTTAGGGACCTAATAAACAATTGATCAGCTATTGGTCAATAGATTGCAGTGCAGGTGTTTTCTGAAACGCAAACCAACTTTCTGAAACTTACATTCTAGTTGAGGGAATTATTAATATTTAGGGAGGTGTAGGAGATAACAAGTTGGGGGAATTAGTATGTAGGTCTGGGATTCTAAACTTACATTCTAGTTGAGGGAATATTGGTTCTGTAGCACTTGAGTCACCAAGTTTTGTGCTATATTAGAGGCAGCATCACCCTTGGCAAGCCACTTGGTTAATCTCTTCATTGGGAGTATTTGGCTTCTTGGGTTTTTGAATATCAATTGTATGTTGAACATGAGGTTGAAGGGCTGAACTTGTTGAGCTTGGATTCTCTTTCTCCTCTTCCCTCAGACATGATTGACAACACGAAGGCCAAAACCCAGGACAAGGGAGGAAATCCAGGATAAGGAAGGTATTCCTCCGGACCAGCAGAGGTATCTTCCCTGGTAAGCAACTCGAGGATGGAAGGAGTCGACGCTCCAGTTGGTGTTGAGACTTGGGGGAGTGCACATTGGGAAGACCATCACATTGGAGGTGGAAAGTTTGCACGCAATCGATAATGTGAAGGTTAAGGTTCAAGACAAGGAGGATTTTTTTCCCAGACCAGCAGAGGTATTCCTCCGGACGGATCAGCAGAGATTTGATCTTTGCTGGTAAGCAGCTTGAGGATGGGAGTCAACACTGCACCTTGTACTTCGTCTCTGTGGTGGTGATTTCTGAAAACCCTGCATTTCAGTTTATTGCTTTGTGGTTCTAGTTGGTTTGTTAAAACATTGAAACATGCATATATATGTGGTTACTTCAATACATAGTGCTGTAGTTTTTAACCCCTTTTGGGTTCTACAAGACTGCATGTTTGAATTGAAATAAAATCGTGTTTTTTTATTTTTTATTCAATTGGTTTAGCTATTGTTTGAATTTTGCTTAGACAAGCTAGCTTGCATGTATTGGGGTGTGTGTGTGTAAGCCAAGCCCTCAGGTTTATCGAAGTCTTACCTGTTGCAGTTTCTCTAGAACACTACCAAAGCTTACTAGTTCTAAATTTTTTCTATTCATGGTATATTAGTTTTTGTGCATCATATGACCTCCCTCAGGTTTATCGAAGTCTTACCTGCAATATGTTGCAGTTTCTCTAGAACACTACCAAAGCTTACTAGTTCTAAATTTTTTCTATTCATCAATTAGAAGGTATATTAGTTTTTGTGCATCATATGACCTGCATACAATAATTTGATCTGTGCAATATGATGAACCACATCCTCCTCAAAATTTGGCTTAATCACATTAATCCTCTCTCTTATTTGAAAAAATCTATTGATCTGCTGTATCGTACTTGTGACTGGCTTGGTGTGGACCAATGTTAAAACCAAAACACGCAAAGAATAGGGTAAGGTGTAAAAAATCGGGGGAATATTATTAACTTTTTGCAACTTATCTCCGTGCACTAAATATTAACCTCCTAAATTATTTGATTTGTTACAATTAAGGACAAACTTATTACAAATGATTATTTTACCTTTGTTATTAAATTTGTCATTTTTTATTAAATTGTTTTTCTTATATTTTTTCTTATTTAAATATTAATTATACCATTTACCTTAATTTTATAATTAGTATCAATTGATTATAAAAATGAAAAATAAATAAATAAATTTGATTATATTATATTTTCTATTTAAGATTTTTATTTAAAAATTTAAAAGCAAACTTATGCAAATTTAATGAAGAATATTTCATTACATTAGTATGAACATTTTTCATAATTTATTTTAATAAGAAAAAGTGTTTTTTAATAAAGAATGGTATTATGACCATTTAATGAAAAATAGGTAAGACAATGGGATATTTTGTAATTAAATGCAATAGTTTAGGGGATTTTATCCACAAAAAATAGTTCAGGGGGATTATTTACAAATTTAGACATAGTTGAGAGGTGTTTTTCGCACTTTACCCCAAAGAATATTATTTTCCTTTTATTAAAGGTGGTAAATTATACAACTGCAAAATTGATTGTTTGTTGATTTTAACTCCAAAAAACTTTGTTGTACAATAAAATTAAACTTTGTTGTACAATAAAAATCTATTTTCAGTCGTACCAATCTTGTCATATTTTTTATTATTTTTCTTTTCTAATTTTTTTTTCCAGTTGCCCTTAGGGTGGGTTTGGTTAAACGAAAATTAATAGTAAAAAGTGAAAATATAAAAAGTGAAGAAATTGAAAGGAAAAAAAAAATTATCATCGATTTGATTATTATGAAATTATTTTTAAAAAAGTTATGAGAAAGTATTATTTGCTCCTAGATAGCATGAAAGTGAAAAGAAAATAATTGTGTTTACTAAAATTATCTTTTTATAATTTCAAAAAATCAAGGAATACTTTATCATAATGTGTGTAATGTTTTTACCAACTGAATCTAATAATAAGAAGGGATACTTTATCAGAATAAGTCACTGCTCTGTTCAGCAAGTCATGAAAAATTTTATTGTTTTGTTGATTAAGTTTGTTCAAGGCACTGGGATTAATGATCACACAAAATTGTGGCATCTAAGGGGATAAAGGTAAAACTTTCATGAGATATAAAAATCAAGCACCTGTAGGAATTCTAATTTCCTATATTTTTTTTTATTCATCTTATCCAAACTCATAAGAGTTTTAAAACTTCCAATGTTTTTTTTTTTATTTTTTTTTTTATTTATTAACCAAACGTATTTTAAAGGGACTTGAATAATTATGGTCTTTACTTTAAAAATTGAGAAAGTAACACTAAATAACTGCCATTATTCCGGAACAATAAAAATTACTGTAATTAAATTTTCTTTGGCAAACAGAAGGAGAGATTTTATGTAAATTATTTTTAATTTTAAAAAGTCTTGTCCTGTTATATATATATATCTCATAAATGTGTGGGTCCCCAGATATTTTATATCATCCATGAGCCCACAGTTTTAGGCTTACAAAGGAAGGCAACACAGTGGCGTACAGAGGAAGCCAATTTTGAAACCTATAAAAGGCATTGTGCATATACTGATAAGATATACAATTGAATACAAAGCAGTTCTCTTTCTCACTCTCTCTCGTTCTCTCTTCGTGTCCTTTCTGTGTCCCCCTCTCTCACTCTCTAGCTGTTTGTGTGAAACTTTCTATAACAAATATTACTATATGTATACACACACATTCATCACACGTTATCAGCACGAAATTCTGTCAATTGAGAAGAAAATTCTATTTTTCTTTCTCATTTCAAAAGGTAAGAAACATAATTATTTATATTAAAATGTTATTGTTCAAATTTTACATATAATTATTGAGCCTGCAGTCTCGCAACTATTTATTTATTTATTTATATTAGAATATTTTTGTCCATACTTGAAAAGTAAATTGCTGAGCCCGAAGTTTCGCAAATACTAAATTATTTAATTTGCAAACTCGAAATTTTGCATATATTAATATACTCTTTGTGAGCCTAAAGTGTCACAAATATTTAATACTCTTTGCAAACCTGAAGTTTCACAAAATTTATTGGCCTGAAGTCCAAATGAATCTGAAATTCTTTGACCTGAAGTCATTTACACTGAGTACTCTTACAAACCTGAAGTTTTGCAAAACATAAAAATATAAATTATGTGTGCCTTTTAATATAAACATATTTTGTCTTTTTGCTATTGTTTTGTTTACTGAAAGTACAAGATTAACTTTTTGACATCATATAGTATATTTACTGACAAATCATATTATAGTGACTGCAGTGTTTTTATAATCTCAAATTGATTATTCTTTTTGTGAAATAATTTTAACTATATTATTTTATCATTTATAGTTCATAATGTCAAATCTTACCAAGC